GGCGTGGGTGTGTTGAGGGTGTGTGTGTGGGATGAGGGTGTGGTGTGTCGTGTGGTGTGTGGTAAGTTGGGTGTGTGTGTGTGGTGTTGGAGGGTGTGGGTTGAGGAGTGTGTGTGTGTGTGTGTGTGTGTGTGTGTGTGTGTGTGTGTGTGTGTGTGTGTGTGTGTGTGTGTGTGTGTGTGTGTGTGTGTGTGTGTGTGTGTGTGTGTGTGTGTGTGTGTGTGTGTGTGTGTGTGTGTGTGTGTGTGTGTGTGTGTGTGTGTGTGTGTGTGTGTGTGTGTGTGTGTGTGTGTGTGTGTGTGTGTGTGTGTGTGTGTGTGTGTGTGTGTGTGTGTGTGTGTGTGTGTGTGTGTGTGTGTGTGTGTGTGTGTGTGTGTGTGTGTGTGTGTGTGTGTGTGTGTGTGTGTGTGTGTGTGTGTGTGTGTGTGTGTGTGTGTGTGTGTGTGTGTGTGGTGTGTGTGTGTGTGTGTGTGGTGTGTGTGTGTGTGTGTGTGTGTGTGTGTGTGTGTGTGTGTGTGTGTGTGTGTGTGTGTGTGTGTGTGTGTGTGTGTGTGTGTGGGTGTGTGTGGGTGATGGTGTGTGTGTGTGTGTGGGTGTGGTGTGTGTGTGTGTGTGTGTGTGTGTGGGTGAACGTGGTGTGTGTGTGTGTGTGTGTGTGTGTGGGTGGGTGTGTGGTGTGGGTGTGTGGGTGTGTGGGTGGTGTGAGGATGTGTGTGTGTGTGTGGGTGGTGTAGGGGTGGTGTGGTGTTGAGGATGTGTGTGTGTGTGGGTGATGTAGGGGTGTGTGGGTGGTGTTGGAGGGTGTGTAGGTAATGTTGGTGTGTAGCACTGTGTGGGTAATGTGGGCTGCTGAAAGTGTTGTTGGCGGAAGTGAACCTTTTTGTTGGGTGAGGGTCACACGGTCAGTCTCCTTTCTCACTCAAAATGAATTTTATACCATAATGATCCTTAATAAATTTTCTACAAGACGTTTCCAATAAGATTATCCTTACAAGAAATATTTTGATATGATCAATGATGGGAATTTCATTCTTTAATAAAATAATGTAAGAAATTTTGATGGCGGAGTCAATAAAATCAGTTCTAATTTCGTTAAGACACACAATTTTTTTCATTAAAATAATCGTGAATACTTTATTTAAAAGTTTGGTTAAATAAATATATTTTAAAACCAAAAGCTCTGTATGATATGGGCATGAATAGAGCTGTGTTACAGCTAGTAGGAGCTGTAGTTATTTACACAAACACCACTGTACAAGTACAATATTGTTCATACTGTAAACATAATGTATACTACTGTACATATTGTACTCACCAGCAGATCCTGTCACCTTTAGCCTTGAGTAGGCAGACACTTTACTCAGCTGACTGTAATAATAATAACTGTAATCATGTCTTAACACTTGTGATGGAGGTTGGGTCATGTTACTAACCTGACCTGATGCAATGTCAGGTCACCCAGTGTTGGATGGGAGATTAGTGGGTCTTATGACCTGAAGAAGTCTTGAATGACAGTTTATTACAGTAACGTACCTTTACTAATTAATGAAAAACAAATAAACAATATTGTAACATGAATGAGACAGTATTTGTTGACAAACAATCAGAGAGGTGACCCCTTTGTGTGTGTGTGTGTGGGGGGTGGGGGTGGCGTGGTCATTTTCCAATGCACCTTTCCTCCTCCCTCCCTACTTCACAGCATTCATTATAAACTTCTATTTGTCAGAGAGTTGAATTTGATACTATAATGATCCTGAATAAATTTTCTATGAGATGTTTCCAATATGATACCCTTAACCCTTATGCCCCGGGCTAGGGTGCCGCTGGCCGTGTCCCTCCACGCGGGGGTAAATCGAGAAAAATCAGAACTTTTCCAAAAATATTTTTTATCCTTTTTAAATAAAAAATAAGTAAGAAAAACTATATATTGACCCTCTAGAAACTTCCCTGTGACAGCAGTGGCGAGGGAGATAAAGGGACAATGTTGTTTGACAGCTGACGCTCGTGGTCACTACTCACTTAGCGACCATTTTCTGCTTGACTTTGTGTCCGGGATGGTCAGTAATGCATACATTTAGTACTGATCATAATAATTATTTCCTAAAAATAATTCATTTAGAATATTTAATTGCATTATTTTTTGTAAAAAGTGCTCGGCAACACGCACGCAGTCGGTTGCCAGGCTGTCTGGCTGTCTTTGTGTTTGGTAGAGCAAGTAATGCATAAAATAATAATAATTACACAAGTAAATACATTTATAACATACCCGGTAATCATAGCATTATTTTCCAGTAATACTACATTAAAATACAACTACACTACTTTTAGTATTATTTCTTTGATACAACATGATAAAACGGACAATGAAAATGAAACAAACAAAAGTAGGTAATTATGTTCAGGAAGCTTCCCTGTGGCCGAGTGTGTGGCGTGACAGGCAAATAGTCACACTGGAACCTGATAACCTGCGCTGGGCATTTAAACAGTGGCGGGAAAAAGCGCACGTTCTGGAACGTCACCCGGGGCGCGCCAGTTAGGAGTTCCAGTATGTCACCCAGGGGCGTAAGGGTTAAATGACAAGCCGAATAATCAGGTAAAAAAAAGTACAGTACAGTACTTTACTGTATATGAAGGGTACTGATATTAACAAGCTCAAATTATTACAGTTTCTATCCACAAGTCTCTATGTACAGAACTAAACAAGAATTTATTTGAAATACAGTACTCTGTAACACTCAATACCATAATATCTTGACCATTGGCCCTAGTTATACAGACTTTTCCCTGTGATTAAGCCATAATTTTGAGCAGCATATTACTGTACTCATTTTGTACTCACAAAAGTACTATGCTAGAGGACTAATACAGTATTTTTATATCTTGTGTAAACTAAGAGATATTTATACTCAAATTAATCGCTATCTTGCAAGGATTCCAGGAATGCAAGTTATATTCTGCTAAGACATGTTTGTTGCATTTTATGAACTTTAAGCCTAAGACAACCTTCATCCCATCAATCATTATCACCGCCATCTGTCTCCCCTGCTGGCTGGGAGGGGGATGGAGGTGGGGTGTTGACAGCCAGGAGGGGAGATTAATGTGTACTCAAGCATTGAAAAAGGCAAGGAGTTTAAGTTTCTTGCTTATAAAATGCCACTGACTTGATTTAACAGATTATAACTTGCATTGTTGGAATTCTTGCAAGATAGCGATTAATTTGAATAAAAGCATCCCATAGTCTGCACTAGACATAAAACTTTTAGAAATTAACTTAGTACATTTGAGTACAGGTTGTGATAATTTATGCTGTTGCTCAGCAGTTGTGGTTGCAGTTGCGAAGCAAAAGTAGCCAAATCGAACATCATGTATCAATTAATTTGAAAATAGAAATTATGAAGTAAATTGTTATAAGACAATGGTTTAATAGTGCTCTTAATATGTGTGCTATGTAAGTGTCTTGACATGTCACCTCACCACCTGACTCCCCACCTCACCCTTTGCCTCGTTGGCTCAGATCAGAATTACGTTGATTTATTACCATATTATTTTACTTTTTTAGTATTGTATGTACTGTACATACATTTAAAGAAATTTTATATTTGCTTAGTAATTATAAATAGACCATGAGCAGAAAATCCAGTGTTACCCAAGCGGTTGGTCTTCGCACCCATGTGAGGATGAGGCTAAACATGATACAGTACAATCTTTTATAATGCCGGGAACCCTTGTCCCCAGGCCCTAGGCAGAAAGGCTTGGAGTGATTTTCTGGCAAATTGCGCATCATTTCATAATCGATATTTGCTCCCAAACTCAGATATAAAAATTTGGACACTTTCCAGATTTTTTTTTTATTTTTAATTTTCAGAAAATACTTCTGACTTTCAAACTCAGAATTTGTTCCCAAACCTGGTATTTAAGGAATTTTCTGGAAAAATTCCAAGCAAATTTCAATTCCGGCTATTGGAGAATTCTAGGTTTGAGAGATTCTGGCTAACGGAGATATTACTTTTGTAATTTGACTTAAAAGTAATGAAGATCAACGGACTGGGCCAGGTGTGTGTGTGTGACATAATATGTGCTTGTCTTCTGCTATCCTCCCTGAAGGATTGCCATCACCATTGTTTGAATTATTTTACAAAAATATTAAATTTTTTCTGAAACAGCATTATGGGCGAGGCCATTCTAAGAGTAGGGGAATAAACTGCTCACTCACAGGTCCAAAGGAAGAAAGAGGCGAAGGGATTGCTTGTTGGCAACAAATATTTAAAGGTTTGGACAAATGTTTCTTGCCCTGAAAGGGTCCAGACTTTCGAGGGTTTAGTGTATGTTGAATTTTGTTATTTCTAATATACAGTTAACCCTCACTTTACGCGGTTAATGTAACCCGGAGGGTCCCGCGTAAAGTGAGAAACGCGTAAAGTGAATAACATAACATATGGGATTAATTGAAATGGAGTCCGGGCCGATCCCCAAACTCCACTTTTTGACGACACACAACTATGTTGTAGTAAAAATATTATCTTAACTTTATGATGGTATGCACACACAATTAATAATTAAGAGAAATATCAATAATATTAGGTTTTTTAACACTTACATTAGTAGAAAAAATGGCTGGGCACACGGGGATGGGCGGTTGGTTCCGAGGCAGAGGGCAGATTATTGGCCCTCACCTGTGTCACTTGTATCAATTGTATCACTATCCACCACAGAGGCTTGCAGGGCCTCTTTGTCAAACTCCCCAAAGTCCATATAAGTCCATATCCTCACCATAATTATCACTATCACTGACTTGGGCCGGTTGTGGTGGGTGCCGGGTGAAGAACTGGTAATGTTTTGATGACTGGGCGACCTTGTGCGCACCATGTTCGCGCAGCTTACACAACAAGGCGGATGGCGGGAGGTTTGGATCCAAAAATGGCGCGGCTCGCCAGCCGCTCTCCGCGTAAAGGGGTACACGCACCGCGGAATGTGAGCATCCTGGGTTCCGGCAGGGCACCGCGTAAACGTGGAAACGCGGAATGCGGGACCGCGTAAAGTGAGGGTTAACTGTAATTCATATTATATTCCTATTATTTATTTATCTTAATATAATTCATAATATATTCCAAAAATAAACACATTATTTCTAAAAGAATTTGTGATGTATGGACGATTTTTAGCTATAATCATCCATGTGGGAATTATCTTTCTGGGAATCATCCAAGTGAGAATACAGGTAACTAAGTCTATTTGAGAATTATCTTAGTACAGGTAGTATAAATCACTGCACAAATTTATATTGTTTAAACAGTATTGTGTAAGTCAATAAACTAAAGGTATATACAGTCTTACTTAGTTTCCTTTTATGAACAAATATAAGCTTAAATATCTGGGTAAACCAACATTTATCCAAGTAAATATTAGCTAAAATCTGGGCTAGCCGCAGCTACAAAAACTAAAAGAACGTATTGGTCAAATTTGAGGTCTGGATCTGGTCTTGGTTGTAATATACCAATTTTAGTATGAAATAACAGAATGTAGAATGTCAAGAATGTGTGTGGGTGGGTGTTGGCTGTGTGTGGTGTATATAGGGAGAGGAGTGTAGTGCGTGTGTAGCGCGGGTGTATCACATGGTATACAAAAAGCATTCGCTGTATATTTCATCAACGTGAATAGAGAGTAAAGGAGTCAATGAGTGATATGCTGTACAGTATATATATATTTCTTGTTTTTATCACTCAACTCCCATCCAAAATCACTTCCAGCACCATGCAGATGACACCGCAATATTATTTTAATTAAAATTATACCAACTTTACCCCACTCCACTTCCATCCCATAACTTGTTAAGCCCCCCTCCCTTGTCCTGTGCCATCTATGGGTAAATTTAGTGACTGCTTCAGGCTGGCAACTTATGAGTCTCATGGTTGGTGGTGAGAGAGCATTGCTGTTTCAACAATGTGTCAAGCATGTGCACACGAATACACATGCGCTGTTGCCATGTTAGCCCTACCTTGTGGCCAGGTGGATCAGGCGGAACTGTTGTAGTGTACAAGTCATACACTGCAGCATCCACTTTCTTGTATTTCAAGCAACCCATACAAGTATGGGTGAGGCTACCTTCCTCCTTGACATATTTAACATTGTAGATGGTCGAAATGCCCACACCATACTCCTCCATCAACACTCTCACTGACACATTTTTCTCAAGTTTGTTGAGAATTACCAATTTTTCTTTAATGGAGTCCTTTCTCTGAGCCTCTCCTCGACCTCTTGGTGCCATATGCTTTTTCTGTAGCTATCAGCATTGTACAGTTGCCTCCACATGAACGTACCACAGCCTGGGTGTGTGTGAAGGCTCGGATACGAGATGTGGCAATGCAGCACCATAGTCAGGGTGGGCTGAATGCATGGAAATGAAACAGTGAAATTACAGTTTCATCAACATCTGCAATAAGATACAAACAAAATAGGAGGTAAACAGATAAACAAACCCTGTAATATGTCTTATGCAGCATTGTTGTGTAACCATGACAGAATGACTAGGAGTGAACTATGGGGAACCAGAAAACAGGGTAATCCACAGTTTCACACCCATGACTACAGCACTGTGTTACCACATATCGTTCCTACTCCCTCACACACTCCCAGGCAGTGGTACATTCAAGTGGAGGCAACTGTACGTGTTCAGTAAAGTTACAGTACAGTACACACAAACACTATACACTAGGCTACAGTATGCATATCCTGCACTGTCCACTCCGCTATGCACATTACTGTATGTACAGTATGGTGCTCACACTAATAATGTTAATTTACAGTTAAATAACACTGTAATCACTATTTACATCTTGGCACTGCTTTAACACTGTATTCTTGGCTGATTGTGTCCTGGTACAGTAATGTACAGTACTGAACAACACAGATTTGTACAAAAACAGCAGCAAGCAAGGGAGCAGCTTGGCGGCAGATTATGAACTAAACATGGCACAATGCTAGGGTTTGAAGGGATAAGCTGGGGATGCAGCAGCCTATCACAGGCATCCCATGTTGTCACATGACAGAAATAGCCAATCACAGCGTGCAAGCCTACAGCCTAAGTTACCCCAATGGCTAGCCCCCCATGTGTTCAGAACATGGCAGACGTGTCAGAACATAATGCAATCTCTCGAAACTCCAGAAAAAAAAATTCTCATGCCCGGAAGGAGAGATATTCTCTGAATTTTTCCGGAAAATGCACATGATTTCATCATCAGAAACGTGTTCCCATGCCTAGAATGGAGAGAGTTTACCCAGAAGGTTAAAAATCCATTCTGGGTATTGAAGAGTTCCAGGGACCAGTGATTCCGGCTAACGGGGATATTACTGTACAGTATTTAAAAAATGAACACTGATATAAAAAATGTACAGCTCCATAAAAATAAAAAAATAATTAATTTTCATGCACCAAAGACACTACAAGATATGCAGAAACATAAAACACAAGACATGTTTCAAATAAAGAAATTTCTAGTCATGAATTTGATGTCACTGACACTACTGTACTTAGATATTAATATAAATGTCAGTCTTACAAAAAGGCACATTTTATTTGGCAGACTCTGTTGATTTCCTCCTGCCACCACCACCTCTTCGATCAGGAGCGTATCTCAAAGTAGTGGCCATGACAGCTCCAACTTCAGTTTCTGTTGCATCTGGAAACTGCTTTCTGACACTTGCTGCAAGAATTCAAACAAGTGTTATTTCATATTATATTCACTTGCTTTAGCAACATTAGTGGGCAACAATATCAGACAAAACACATATAAATTTTCATCGTTCATCTAATAAATCCCATGTATAAGAATAATAATACCCTTACCTATGATAGCATTGTATAAATTAGTCATCTTGCAAAAAGCAACTTTTCCCCGGTTTCCACGCATGTTGAGCTGAGCCATGACATCATTTGTCATAAGCCTGTAATAAAGATTGCACAAGAGTATGACAATGGATGTGACTTTGCCCATGCTACTCACACCAGGTGTATGATGACTATGTTGACACATATGGTACAAACACATAGACCGTTACCAGAAAAGTTTATAAAGCCAATACCATGAAACACAATACTGTAGTTGTACCGTACTGTTCACAAATGACTACCTAAACATGACTACATACCTCCCCATGATCTTCTGTACGCTGTCTTTTATGTTTAATCCTCCAATGGAAAACAGGTGATGGATCTGAAGAAAAAAAAAATATTTTTTTAGAAAACTGATGTGTTTAAATTTTAACAGCAAACAGCAGCTCTGTACAGGCAGACTGCCCAACACATCCTCATGCAATGTGAAATGGACTAAACATACCTGAAAAAATGTAACAAAATTTCAGCAATGCATTGAAAATTCACGTACTACACATATTTTGAACACGTCAGAGTGTGGGCAGCAGGACCAGTTACAGTTCATTATCAGTAAGGAAAGGTACACGTAAAAAGTGCTCTTAACTAAATTTTGGGGAAATTCATGGACATTAATGAATAATTAAGCAATAATAATCCCATCCATGTATTTGAATTGAATTGAATCTATCAAATTACATTGAGGTCACCTTCTCGCATCTATATTTCACAAGGTCATCATATTTCTAACTGGCTTTCCTCTCAGTTGTGTTGCTACTACAGACCAGCCCAGTCATTTGTTATAGGAGGTATGACATATCTTCCCATCTCTCTCTCATAATCAGACAATTGCCCACGGCTGGTTAATTCATCATTTAACAATACAATACACGTATCCACCACATTACAGAAACTCAGGTTGTGGAAATTCATCCATACCAAATTTGTAAATTGTGACCACTAAATTCAGGATATGGCCTGAAAATTCAACCTTACAGAAATCGGGTAAATATTCCAAATTTTCAATAGAAAAAAAATTCACAGAAATTATAATTTATTGGGTTCAATTTCTTAGTGTTTACAACCACCAAGCATGGGTATGCCAGCATACCCATGCCAACACAGTGTGTTGTTATCTCCCAGCGTGTATGCTTGATCTTTTGACCCCAGCTCTTAGATTCAACACTTACGTACTGTATATATCTTATTCAAAACTGTTCAGTGTATTACCCTTATTCAAGATGAGTGGAAAGAGCCCATCAAGTACAAGTGAAAACAGTGGTGCTAAAAGTCCATACAGGATTTGTTGGATATAAAACTTGACGTTTTACAGAGGTTTGATGATGGAGAAAAACTTGGCCAGATTACAAAAACATTAGGGATTACTACAACTAGAGTGAGTACAATATGTGATAATAGAGACAAAATTAGGTCAAGTGCCATACGTTATACTTTCATAGAAGTGATGTGATGCTTAATATGGAATGACTACTGAGGATGTGGATTGAAGGTCAGACCCAGTGTAATGTGCCAATAAACACAATGATCATTCAAGAGAAGGCAAAAAGTTTGTATAATAATTTGCAGAAGAGGAAGGTGCAACATCTAAAGCAAAACCTTTTCAGGCTAATAAAGGTTGGATTGAAAGTTTTAAGAATTGCATTAATTTGCACAACATTAAGATGATCGGTGAAGCTGCCAGTACTGATACAGAAGCCGTGCACAATTATCCTGATGAGATGAAGAAAATTATTGATGAAGGAGGTTACACACCAGAACAAAAAGTGTACAATGTGGATGAAACTGGACTTATTGGGAGCACATACCAGCTGGGACATTTATTACTAAGGAAGAAAAGTCAGCATCATGTTTTTAAATTTCAGAAGACTGTCTAATGCTTCTTGAGGGAGGAAATGCTGCTGGTGATATGAAATTAAAGCCCCTACTTGTGTATCACTCTGAAAATCCACGGGTCTTCAAAGGCTACGGCAAGTCTAATCAACCTGTAATTTGGCATTCAAATAAAAAGGCTTGGATAACTATGAACCTTTTTCAAAACTGGTTCACTTATCATTTTTGCCCTGCTGTTGAAAGGTACAGTGACAGACAGATGAAATATTTCCAACAAAGCATTGACAATGCACCAAACTACCCAGTGAACTTGAATGATCTTTCTGACCATGTCAGAGTGGAGTATATCCCCAAGACCACTTCAAGACATATTATCTAAGAACTTTTACACAACTCATAAAAAGAAATGATGGGGAGGATAAACCAACAGTTAGGGACTTCTGTAAAAAGTTCAACATCAAGGACGCCGTGGAGAACATTGCCTAGTCGTGGGATGAAGTGAAATCATCAACTATGAATAGTGTTTGGAAAAACATATGGACAGAGTGCGTCCACGACTTTCAAGGTTTTCCACAAACAGAAAGTACAATAAGTCCTCGCTTAACATTGTTTCGGTACTACGTCACTAAACTTTAGAGACCAAAAATTTGTTTAACGTCCCAGTGACTCGGTACAACGTCGTTTGAGTCGTCACGGATTACATTTTACCTTTTTCACAACATGTACTTAGGATGGTGAGTGCATGTAAATGAGTAAAAATAAATGAAGAAAGTTACTATATCTACCAAAAAATAAGTTAAAAAACATGTACAGTACTTAAATGTACTTAAGGGACAAAAATTTTTATCTCGTGCAAAATATACGATGTCTATATTCATATTACAGTATTCACTGTCTTTCAAGGATTCCAACAATGCAATTTATACTCCGCTAACTTTAGTCTGTGCCATTCTATAAGAAAAAAAATTTAAGCCTAAACCACCATCAATCTTGCCGGAAGTGCAGAGGGGAGGTGATGTATTATGACAGCTGGCGCCAGCCCGCCGGCCAACCAAGGTTACCTAGTGGTATTTATATATCTGTCATGTAGAGGAGTTTTGAGTTTTTCGCTTATAAAATCTCAATGAATGTGACTTTATAGTAATGCATACAAGCACCTCACCAGGCATCACAAGGAGCTTTGAATTTATGTATTTGTAATGTATTTCATGGGGCAAAGAGATGCTAAGGAACGTAACTCCCATATTTTATTTATTTATTATGGGGAAAATTGATCCGCTTAACGTTGTTTCGTATAACGTCGTATTTTCAGGAACGTAACTCCGACGTTAAGCGAGGACTTACTGTATACATCAAGTTCAACAAGACATTGTGACACTTGCAAATGATGTAGGCTTTGCAGAAGTTGTTGAAGATGATGTGTCTGAGTTGCTACAGTCCCATTGGGAAGATCTGTCTAATGAGGATCTGATGCTGTTGAAACAAGAGTGAGCTGCAGGAGAAGAGGAGGAGGATATAGAAGCTCCACCCACCCTTCTGTTGACTACAAAGGAAATGGCTAAAGGATTTGCACTTATAGCAGAAGGTTTGCAAATCTTTGCTGCTAATGATCCCAATAGCGAACATAACCTCCAAGTTGCAAGAGCAGTTCATTATGGACTCAGCTGCTACAGTGAGCTGTACAATGAGAAGATGAGTCGTAAACATCAAACAACTTTGGTTAAGTCTTTTGCCCCATGAGCAGAGCCTGCAAGTGGCTGCAACACATGATGATTTACAGGGCAGGGCAGAAGATAGTAGTGCTCGTCACTCTCCCTCCCAATAACTCCCACTGCAACACCTCACCTCATGCAGCATTCAATCTCATTTGTGGTGAGTTAAATTCAAGTGTTTTGTGTACAGAATTATTTTTATTTATTCCTCACATTTACTGGTACAAATCATAGCTCCTTCCACACTCATATTATCCTTTGGGCGACATGACACAATTCAGCTGCTTGGATAGGCAGTCACCTAGGTGGCTGACATCAGGGGAGGAGAGAGGGAGGGAGGGAAGGAGGGCAGACCGGCAATTCGCATACACAGTTAAAGTTCACTGTCTTTACTCACAAATGTTCACTTCCCACACATACACACCAATGCTCTTCATTTTTCTTATTTTATACAGCATGTCCTTACAATTCACGAGTTTTTAATTCATGGCCTTCAATTATTCGCGGATGACACCCTGGATGTGACCAAGAATGTCAGTGGGTACTTTTAGAGTTGGCGGAGCACGCGAGTTGTGTGGTGTTCCGCAAGGTGTCTCTGTTGTCCAAGGTGGCTGGGCCACGTACACACTCCACCTCAGTCCGGGAAAAACACTTGTCCGTCTCGCTTGTGTGCTACTCTGCTCTCCTAACAACTGTGCTCCTCATGCTTGTGATGGCTCCCAAACTCCTTCAACCACCTTCATCCAGCCGCGGAAATGAGCCCAAACAAGCAAAGAGAGAGAAAAGGTCATGACCTTCGTGGAGACGATACAGCTGCTGGACAAACTTAGGAGTGGCCAGAGTTCTGCTGCGTGTGGCCGTGAGTATGGCATCAATGAGTCAACCGTCCGCTACATCAAGAAGTAAGAGAGGGAGATTCATAATGCCGCTGCCCTAAGTGCCCCCTCTGCCAAGATTCGCCGCTAATGTGAGGGATACAGCTACATCTGGATTGAGGACAGTACAGTATATAGACAGTATCAAGGGAGAATTCCAGGTACATATATGTGGGCTGCAAAGGCCCAATTGGTACGTAATAGTGTAATACTGTGAATAAGTGTGACTGTGTTTGAAGGTTATAATATTTATGTAAGATAAGAAAAAATAGCTTTCTCATGTGACAGGTGAAAATATATGAGTACAGGTAGTTCTGCTATAACGCGATAATTGTGTTCTTGTAAAATATCGTGTTATAGAAAATCGCGTAATAGAAATAACAGGGCTTATGGAGAAAATAGGGTTAGGTGCAGATTACTCGAAATCGAAAAAATTTAGTAGTTAGCCTAACACAAAGGATAGCACAGTCTAAATAAATGTTACATTCATATCTAATAATGAAATCATACAGTAAATTTAACACTTTACCTTGAAAAAATATGAATGTAACTTGATGGGGGAGAAGGGTGATTTTGAGGTTAATAACATCGAGCTTCTCTTCAAGTGTTATATCCTTTCTTTTACGATAATCACCGGGAATTCTATCATCAGAACGCTTTTTGGAGATATTCTTCTTTACCATATTCACAGTTAATACCACAAAATTGGAGAAATAGTAAGCAAAAATCGCGTTATAGCAAACAAGCGTTCGCGTTATACAAATATTGTTCCGAATTCATAAATCGCGTTAGAGCAAATTCGCGTTATCAAAACACGCGTTATAGCAGAACTCACTGTACAATGATCTGAGAAAATTATAATTGTATTAAGTTATGTGAAGTGTTTGGGTTGACCCATACACTATGGTAGGAGGAAATCATCTTATTTAGTTGTGTGTGAGGTTAATACACAGTTACTTCATTTGATGGATAGCCATGGACAGCTCTGATTCGAGAATCTTATGGAAGTGGTAAATGTAAGCAAAGTGGGAGTAAAGTAAGTGTAATATACCAAGCCACAAGCTAGGGCCTTTGTCCATGTTGGCGCCTGAAACCATGTGGCCCTCAGATTCGAGATAGTGAGATGTAGGAAGAAATTGACCAGAGTCCTGACAACTCAAGACACTGATTGTATCATGTAATTTAGAATTAAGGTACGATATATAATTATAAGGCATGAAGTCACAATACCTTAGAAACTGTGTGTGGGGGCCAGAATAAAAACACTGGGATCGGTAAGCATTGGCACCCATTGGCCTTGGTCCTGGCCCTGACACCTGCACACGGTCTCGATAACACAGGACGCTTTGTACAAACAGGTCAGTGTCCACTTGGTGTAAGGTCAGAGTTCTTCAAGATGTGTATTTAGAGTTTTATATACAGTTTAAAGCCTTGCATAATGTTACTGATGATATAGTAAGTTTGTTAATAAGTTTTATATTTTTTTGTGTCAGTACAAAGGCCAGAAGAGCCAGTAAACATACGGTATTTGTTTATGCACAATAACACAAGACACTTCATATGGACAGGTACAGGCCGTGTGAGCCTTTGTGTGTGGGTGAGCTGTGGAGGCCATAGAGGTAAAGATGTGATGTCGAAGGAAATGCCAGACCCAAACCACTATTGTGTGTGAGGAACCCACCTGGTGTCATGGGTAATGCCTGTGGTCATTGTACAACCTCCCTAAGGATCTCTGGGTGTCTCAAAGTTTTAGTACCCTGGGTGTGAATACGTGTTGGTGCTACTTGAGGTGCTGCCGCTACTGTAGTGTCCCAAGTATGAAGGAAGTCGATATAGTCCCTGTATGATTGTCTGTGAAGTACCCGCTGTGTGTTAACTGTATGTATTACTGAAGGTTCCTTTATTCAGGTGCTATGAGTATTTAGTTATATTATTTTTGTATAGTGAAGACATGACCTTAAGTGCTTGGGAAGGTTAACTATTTTTTTACTGGAACTGAGTGTACTATTATTAATAGATATAAATTAAGACCCTTTTTATCAATAAATTAATTAAGAATGATCAATAATATTTCACCCTTCCTTCTATCATAAAGTTGATTAATGAAAAACACGAGCTCACTTCTTTACCTGCTACCACATGAAAGAAGCCAAATTCTTGTTCGAAACCACATGTACTGCCCTGAGGTCTGGTGGCAGCAACCATAGTTCAAGGAGTAGATTAAGTAAAGGGAGTATGACATTCTAGGGGTGTTTACGCTACAGGCATCTCCCGGGTTACGGAAGGTGTGTTCATGAAAATTTGTCCGTAACGCGAGAGCAATTTCCCCATTGACTTCCATTATATAATTGGAGATGCGTTCACAAAGGAAATATTTTTGGCAAAAAGACGTAATACAAGCACATTTATGAATGAAAATAAATTATTTTTAACACATACTTGTACATTGATTATTTTATGATATAATATGATAATAAATATACAAAACACTTGAATTTAACTTACCACAAACAATGTTGAGAGCTGCATTAGGTGAGGTGGTGATGTAAAGTGGTGCAATTGGAGTTACTGGGAGGGAGACAGAGGGGCACTACTGGCTCCTGCCTCGCCCTGTAATCCATCATCATCATTTGCTACAGGCCTTGCTCTTGGGGCAAAAAACTTGTCTGAAGTTGTTTGGCGTTGACAGCGCATTTTGTCCTTGTACAGCTCCCTGTAGCAGTTGGGGCTATTCTGCAACTGAAGGCGCTTCTTAAACGTTTCAAACCATCCTTTACTAGCCCTTTAAAGGTCTTGCATCAGAACTTGCACTTTGTTCTTTCTGCAAATCCTCATACAAACTTTTTGCATTCTCCTAAATGATCATCGTGCTTAGTGGCACATTCCGTTTTTTGGTCTTCAATCCACAAATTCAAGAGTCTTTCCATATTAAGCATCACATCACTTCTATGAAAAAACAATGTACGGGCAGTTAAAGGAGTAACCGATTGAGCACTTGACCTAATTTTGTCTTTATTGTCACGTATTGTGCACACTGTAGACGTAGCAAGGCCTAATGTTTTTACAATCTGGCTAAGTTTTTCTCCTGCATTAAACCTCCGTAAAACATCAAGCTTAATGTCCAATGTAATTCCTGTACGGGATCTTTTAGCACCACTGCTTTCTTACTTGAACTTGATGGCCTCTTTCCACTCATCTTGAATAAGGATACACAGTAATACAGTCCTGAATACAGAAGTTTGTAAGTGTCGCGAGACCAAGCGCACATGTGAGTTCAAACAGAGCGGGTTGGCGTGGAGAGGATACGCGGCGTCCCCACTGTACAGTCTTGTAGCAACCACCAAGAAATCCACACAAAATAAATTTTATAATTTGTGAAATATTTTCTTATAGTACAGGCGAATTTTTTGTCCGTATCCCAGATAGATGGGTCATAATTTACAAAATCCGTAAGAGCGAATTTCCGTAACCTGAGTTGCCGTAACCCGGGGGATGCCTCTATGTTAAAGTTGGTAAAATTAAAAAATACACTCAATATGTGTTGTAATATGTATTCTCTTTCATATCCTGAAAAAATTTTATTGTCGCCTTCATTAATAAATGAGCACCTCTAAATTATCATGAATGGACAAAAGTTATGAGGCCCCCTGTTGTTGGAGGTCTGGGTGTGGCTGCACCCCGTGCACCCTGCTAGTTTTAGCCCAATGGCTACTTGATAAACAATTATACCCCTTGTCTCAACTATTTCCTTACCATCTGTTGATGTCTACCTCTGCCATTCAATGAATTCTCTAGTTCAGTCAGATCTTGAAGGGAGGATGCCTGTACAATGTGATGGTCACCAGAGTCCGTGATACTTGGCATGCTTGACATGTGTACTATTTGCTCCATTACCTCAGACAGCAGATACAGCACACGTTTCTGGAACTCTACAATATATGAGTTAGAATAACACAGAGTTTAGTTGAAACATAAAGTTCAATACGGTACATTCATCACAGTTTATAAACTCTACTATTAGGTTTTGATGGAAATTTCTAATATGCTGCAGCATTTAGTATAGTGTACAAGCATGAAAAGTGTATGATCAAAAATATCACAGAAAAAGTTTTAGTATCGGCTTATTCTAAAAAGGTTCACACGTACAACACAAATAAAACATAAAACGTACCTGCTGTAGGCAAAGGGAATCGATCCAAATTTCTATCCCCAGTGGACTTGCTAGCCTGCCTGTTTGGTGGTAACCTAGAATGGAATTGAGACACTGAGTGTTGCTGTGATGGCGACCATGCAAAGCTTGGCACCTTGCTTGACTGCATCCCACGGAGCGGTGACCTGGAGCGGGAGCGGGATATTGAACGCCGACGAGGCTTGGACATCTGATCGGTATTTCTCTCTTCAATACTTTCATCATCATACTCTTCCATCTCTTCTTCATAGTCAGAAGCACCATTGCCATATTTTTCTGTTCAATAATGATAAAATAATTTGCATTTGCAGTTGAGTTACATGTAGTTCATAGATGTGGTTTTGTTGGCAACAATTTTTAAGTTATATAAGCTTTAAGTATTAGTATCACCAGTTTAATACATAACTGATTCTTTGGGTGATATATACATATGGCTGGGGCAACAATTTACATATACAGGTACCTGCTGAATAGTCAGTGAAATTTTTTTTCTCGTGTTGTTGCTGTGGGGTAGCCATGTCAAGTTTTGTGGTATAGTTATGTGCTTTGTCAATTTTGCTTCCTGGAAGATAAGACAAGTGCATTAGGTTATATATAATTACTGTAGAACAGTAAACACATAAAAAAAATAATTATATAAATTACTGGTACTGTGCAATTCTCTTTGTGGAAATGTTCTTAAACTCTTTATTGTTTATTACACGTCAGTTATGTACGTCTGCCCTCACTGACAGGTCTCAGAATCAGAAACTCTAGTGATTACTGCACACTGGTGCTGGCTAACCAGGGTATCTCATTAGTGGTTCACAGAGTGTTGTACAGTGACCACCAATTCCTTAAATTTAGGTTTCATTATAGCTCAGCTCTTTACACTAATATTATAATAAACATTAAAGATAGCCAATCAGCTATGCAATAAACTATTGATTTTCGAGTATGATATTCATATAATATACAGTGAATAACCATGAAAAAATACACTAACATTCATGAAATATATAGAAGTAGAGTATCGAACAGTCAATACTATAATCATATAACAAAAAGACAAGGGACAATCCAATGTAATACAGCAAGTGCTACTAGTGGCTTCATATCAGTTGAAATGTCCCACATACAATATAATCCACAGTTGGCATACAGCTGCAGTATCACCAACAATCTTTATCAAATTCACTACCCATTACCCAGCACTGCCACAATCAGAAAAATTCAACATATTACAACTCAAAATAAAAGCATCTACAACAAGCAAAGTATTAAAGCTTCAAAATTTACTAGATAAATAAAGCAGAAGATTTATACAGAGAATCAATCTAATCCCAAACTCTAAATTCCCACACTCCTTCCTGCTCTACATAATCGAAGGACAGGAGACCCAATAACTGAGTTGAAAGAGAATTTCTTACCCTCAATGATAAAATTATTCCATTCACAAACAAATACTACACAAAAGACAAGATTCAAGCATTGGTTACCAACCCCCCTAACCAATATCAAACTCACCCCAAATCCATTGTGTAAACATTGTAATGATGCCCTACACACTAAAACACATCCACTCACTACATGGACAAATGTTCACCTATAACAGGCGATCCCTCGATGTTATTTCCATAAAAGATCTCTCTCTATGAGTGACCATGACTATTGCAGAACATCTGAGGTCTCTCAATTTCACACCCATGTGAAACAGGAGCTTGAACAATATCAAAAACATCAGTATTTCTTTTAGTACCTAACATATACTTGACTTTCACAAGCATGAACCGTCTCCAGGTTGCTGTTGGCTCATGCCTCTCTGCCATTGCTTTCTTAGCATGAACACCTGGAGGCCAGTAAACAGTATCTCCCTTAATCCAATTGGCTGGCAGCATGCCCTCCATTTTTTCACCATGTTTAAGCCATACTGCCCTACACCACATTCTGCAATAAACAAAAGTAATTACTAAGTATCTTTCTATCCCAAGCAGTATATGTAGTACAAAATATTCATTACCATACAGAAGACACATTCCATCACATTGTGAGTTACATCTGTCCATCAATTTCTCTTGGCCTTCTCAGAGTGTTTCATTTATGCTATACTGATTCATTTTGACAAAAGTGGCCCATCAATGAAGTTTTTCTATGATGCTAAGACTTGGTATTAGAGACCAATTTTCCATCTGTTCCTTTCCCTTTTACAAAAACAACTGTATTGTTTCTGGATGATCTGTACATCAATGTCTGCCATGTGAGCGATTGATTGTGGTAATAACATCCCTGGCGACACAACAGCTCAGGTCATATGCCCCGAATTAAACTAAGAGCTTAGAAGGCTAAAAGCAAATAATGCAAGGAAGAAACATAAATAATAACTAGCATAGAACCCTCATTAAAAATCATTTAAACATTAATGGATAAAACTCAAAACTTTTGTAAAAGGCCAGCTTCCTTCACGAAGGAGAGGACATCTCCTCCAACACTACCCCCCCCCCACCAGCACCAAAGTGAGACAGTAAGATCTGTCTCCCCCTGGCACCCAGAGAGGTACTTAAGATGAGGATCTCTAAGATTGGGGCATTCCACCAGGGGTCAAACAGTCAATGGGACCAGGCAGTCATCACAATATGGAGGGGGCGTCCTCTTCATTAAAAAACCTTAAGGCAACCACAAGTGGCCAATGAGGAGGCAGGCCAAAGCAGTCTCTTAGCAGCACGACAGATCCTTGTTTGCTCCAACAGCATCCCACCTGCATTGCCAACTCGAGCAGATGGCAGCTCATATTACTGGCTTCATGTCAGAGGCAGGTAGAAAGGAATGATGGGCCACAGGGCGAGAAGCAGATGCTTATGCCACAGCATCAGCACGCTCATTCCCCCTCTCCCCTACATGAGCCGGAACCCAGCAAAAACTGACGTTCTGGGCAGTTCTCATTTCTTTCATTGAAAACATGATGTCTGTGACTCCTCTACTCTAAAAACTTTGAGGACTGAGCTGCCTTAGAAGATACCCCTGCAAATGCTGTGGCAAAAAGATCAGCAACTTCTTGAGGGGCAGCAATTGAGCTGCCATCATTAGCCCTGAGAACTGGGGGAGGATGAGATGAAAAAGTGCCTGCTATTTCTGCACACATTTCCATACCTGGGACAAGGGAGTTTTCATTTAGAAAGGAGACATAAGAAGAAAAAGATTGGCGATGGGCATTCTTTAAAACTAAACGAGGTTGTACTCTGGCCCATTTCAATTCCACATTATAAAATTCTGTCCTATGATGCTAGGAGTGACCATAAGCAATGTGGCGCTCAACAACTGCCTGCCTGCACTCCTCTGACCACCAAGGAACAGGTCGGCAGTGACCAGCCCATTGCAGGAGGTTGGCTAAGTATTCAACCACTTCATCTACTGACGGAAATTCTTCACTTGTCATGTCTACCTTCACTAGTTCCTTGAACAAGTCCCAGTCTGCCTTGTCTAACCACCAACGGGGGAGCTCATGGTGTCAGGAGGACTTCCGGGGAGGAAAGTAGGATAAGGTAGTGGTCACTTTATCTGAGGTCATCTGTTACTCTCCACCCAAAGTCCAGTATAGTCTATTGAGCACAGTGAGAGATCTATGGCTGTAGTCGTGTTGGTCTGGACATGATAGTGGGTGATATCACCAGTAATTAATATACCCAGGTCCACTTCTTCCATGAGTGAAGCTATCAAGTCACCACTTAAATTAACCATTGTATCAACCCAAAGGGTGTGCCTTCCATTAAAATCACCAAGGATAGGATAAGGGGAAGGAAGTTGACGAATCAATGAAGTTTTTATGACTGAAGCTTATTTAAAGCCCAAACTATTCCAATGACTCTTTGATGACTTCTGGGTATACTGTATGGTATAAACATATACAACAACAAATTAAATATTGTGCAGTAATCACACTGTCTAATTATGTCTAAAAAGAGCCTGAACAATTTGGTATACAGATGGACTGTACGTATATAGAATTGCATACTTTACCTTTTCATGTTTTTATACAAGTAACCATAACATGGGTCCCAGGGGCCCAATACTCAAAAACATTTATGGGACTGTATGTTTCTGTGTACCCCGTAACTGGACTTACAGTCTCAGATCGGTATACTCAAAACACCGATGGTATATTCAAAACAAATATTTGACATCGAATTCTGTAAGTTAAAGCCCATAACTTGCACCAGCCCCTGAGGCTCTGTAACACTCTCAACCCGGATGTTGTAGTCACTAACTCCCGATTGTATAAAAAATAATAATAATATATGTTGTAATAATGCTTGTTAGACTTGTTTTGTCATAGAATAACGAAGAAAATGTTTTGTACATCAACATACTGAAATATAGTATTTCAGTTTGTCTTTTTCGTAAAATTTTTGTTGCAATAATACGAGGCTTTGAGTGTTTATATTTGGCGCAGTTTGGAAGAGACGCATCTTTTGTCTTCTTACAAATTATTGTATTGTTCACACTTAGGGTAAAAATATGTTTTATGGTTGAGTAAACTTATAGATAGACCTTATTAATGTTGTATAGCCGTAAATATCGCTCTCAGCTGATTTATCCTTCTCTTGTGATTGGTTGATGATTTTGTCAACTGAGCACTGATTGGCCAACTAGCTCCTGCACTGCCATCTACCTTCCGACAAGAGAACTGAATTTACAGGGTAAACACTAGAGTTATGATAACTTGCGGACTGCTTTAGGAACTGTAATTAAATTTTGAGTATGCTAAATTTACGGGACTGTGAGGAGTCTGCAATATATGGTACTGTATCTCGCTAATATACGTAACTTATGAGGTGTTTTGAGTATCCGGCCCCACATCTGTAGACCACTGACCTACGGCAGTAAGTTTTTGTGTGTGTGTGTGTGTGTGTGTGTGTGTGTGTGTGTGTGTGTGTGTGTGTGTGTGTGTGTGTGTGTGTGTGTGTGTGTGTGTGTGTGTGTGTGTGTGTGCGTGTGTGTACTATGACTCAGGGCCGTACTCTCAGTCATCATGTCAAGCCATCAGGCACCATACACTTATGAGGGGGGAGGTCATTCAATAATGTGTGTGCTTCGGGCAGGATGTACCAGGCAGGGCTACCAATATTTCCAAACTGGCTGGATGACTCAACTGTTACCACAACCCAGGCATCGAGTACTGTACCCCAATAATATTTCCCTCAAACACAAAAGAAATTTAACGAAAGCTAAAAAAAAAAAAAATAAATAAATAAATCATACGACCAAATGAACAAAAAAGTGTTAAGAAGATATCTATGGGAAATCGAAATTATGATTCTCTGGTGTTTGTGAGGTTTGTTTTGAAGATTATTATATTTCACCGGATGTTGGCCACACTAGGATGGCCAATGGCTGGCATACGAGCCGATCAGTGGTGAAGAGGATAAAACGATAACAAGGCGGGGTGTTGTTCACACATGGATGCACTTGTAAATAAATGACAATCTTTGAATATACTGTATATGGAAACAAAAGCTTTTGTCACCAACAAACTCATTTTCTATCAATTTTAAATACAGTAAGTCCTTGCTTAACGTTGCCCCCGATAACGTTGTTTCGTTATAATGTCGCTACTCTTTCGATACCAATAATTCAGTTAACATCCCGAAGACTCAATGTAACGTCATTTTTAGTGTCATCACGGACTACTTTTTACGTCGCATCATCCTCACTCATCTTGCCGCTCTACACTTTCTCGTCTTGGCACCCTACCTCTCACTCATGGAACGTCACAGCTTCCCAAAGCGGCGTCAGTCTTCATGAGGCTTCCATAGCGTTCGTGCGTGTTTTTGCTCTTAAAACTGTACTCTATCAATTCAAAATGGTTTCCAAGCGCCCATCAAATGCTACTGATGCTAGTTTTGTGAAGAAGCAATGTAAGATCATTAGCCTTGCTACGAAAATGGAAGTTTTAAACCGTTTTGAAAAAGGGGAACGTGCGGTGGACATAACTGCTGCTCTAGGTCTAACCGCCACAACAGTGCATACTATCCGGACCAACACGGACAAGATTAAGGTTAGTGCTGGAAGTGGCGCTACTCTGAGTGCAACAAGGACAACTTGTGCTCGAAGTTCCGTTATTGAAAAGATGGAAAGGATGCTGGCTATGTGGATGGAGGACCAGAATCAATGCAATGCCCCTGTGAGCCTTATTATTATCCAGCATAAAGCAAAATCTTTGTTTGACGACTTAAAGGCAGGAAGAGGGTGAAGGATCGAAGGAAGAGAACTTTACGGCCAGCCGAGGCTGGTTTCAACGTTTTAAGCATCGTCATAACTTTCATAACATTACGATGACTGGTGAAGCTGCTAGTTCAGATATGGTTGCTCAAGGAAGGAGGCTACTCAGCGAAGAAAGTCTTTAATGTGGATGAGACTAGTCTCTTTTGGAAGATGCCGCCTGAAAGAACATATATCTCAAAGGAAGAGAAAAGAGTGGCAGGTTTTAAAGCAGCAAAAGACCGTGTGACGCTGCTGCTTGGCGCGAACGCTGCTGGCGACTTCAAGCTGAAGCCTATGCTAATTTCTCGCGCTGTCAACCCACGGGACCTGAAAGGTTACTATGAGGATCAACTTCCTGTCATTTACAAGGCAAATAAGAAGGCATGGATAACCAGTGCCATATTTAGCCAGTGGTTAACCGTGTACGCCAAGGAGAACATAAACTTCAAAATTCTTCTTGTCGTTGACAATGCTCCAGCTCATCCTCCCAATATCGACGACTTGCACGACAATGTTCAAGTTGTCTTCCTGCCTCCCAACATGACAACACTGATGCAGCCTATGAACCAAGGCATCATCGCCGCATTCAAGGCGTATTATTTATAGCGTACCATGGATCAACTGCTAAAGGCTACTGATGGAGAAAATAAACCTACAATCCGAGAACATTGGCGGGGCTACAACATTCTTCATGCAATCGACAACATTGACAAAGCATGGGAAGAAGTTTCAGAAAGTTGCCTGAATGGTGTGTGGCGTAAATTGTGGCCCGAGTGAGTCAACAGTATTACAAGATTCACAGACTTAGTCCCAGCTGTGAATAGGGATATCCTCAGCTTGGCTAGACAGGCAAGCTTTGATGAGCTGGAATCAGAGGATATTGAGCAAATCTTGGCATCCCATACAGAAAAGGCTCACCAGTGAAGATTTGCAACAAGCAACAAAACACTGTCCCATTGAAGATGACGAAATAACACAACGAATGCTAACTACCAATAGGATGGCAGAAGCGTTCAACATGATTCAGCAAGGAATGCAAATCTTCATTGATGACGACCCAAACAGAGAATGTAGCTCAAAGATTCAATGCAACATTGATGACAGTCTTGATTGTTACAATGAGATCTACAAGGAGAAGAGGAGGAGGAGCACTAAGCAGTCAACGCTGGATTCTTTTTTTCGTCGCTGGAAAGCAGCAGCATCTTCACAACAGCCTGCAAGCAAGGAGGAGCAAACAGTAGTCGAGGAACCCCAGTCAGAGCGGGAAGAGGAGGCACTCGCCCTCCTCCTCCGCTCCACTACCCACCACACACTCACTCCACCAGTGAGTACAATACAAAATGGGTAAATTTTTACTTTAGGACATGAGTCCCTAGGGGTTGACCAATGTTTTTCTAGTGTATTTTAGTGTGTTTTAAATTAATCTGACCTTCATTTTTGGCAGAAATTACTAGTTTTGCCCCCCCCCCCCCACAATAATGGGGGAGAGCCTAGGAAATCAAAGTTTTTGGGTGGGGGAGAAAACAAAAACGAGTCATCTGACCTAACAAAACCTAACCTGACCCCTAGCATGGGGCTCTGCCTCCAGTAGGCCGAGCTTAAACTAACCTAAATATTTCAGTAGTTAAAAACTCTGGGATACGTAAGAATTGGATAGAATAATCGTTTTTCTCGTAAAACTCGGCAATAAGCTTAAAATAATCGTAGCAGCACAAACGACAACCAACCTCCACCACGGCCATTGTGAAACTGGTCAATGAAATTAAAATCATACCCAGGCTGCTTCTTTGAAAAAATCCCAAATGTGATTGGTTGAAAAAAATTTGCGTGATATCGATACCTCATTGGTCACTACTGGATGCCGTCAGTCAACACTGCGCATGCGTGATGCACAGATAACATCTCCTTTCGGTAGTTTATAACTTTCGGGGGCGCTATGTCCGAAAGTAAAATAATACCACAAAAATAATTTAGTTTTATATATACTGGGGAACGTAACTCCTATATTTTATCTACTGTACAGTGTTTCTTTTGGGGGAAAATTGATTCCATTAACGTTGCGGTTTTCAGGAACAGAACCACGACTGCCTTCGGGACTGTGGCATCTCTGAATGGCCTCAACCAATGCTGTTCTTGATCAGTCGGGTTGTGTAACGACTGAGAATATGGCCCTAAGACTCCTGGAGAATGAACAAGGATGCTGACAAAGTCTCTTATGCATTATTAATAAACCATAAATCTAATTACTGAACTTTCTATGTATTCTTAACTATAAATTTACCAGAATTACAGTTGTCTTTTGTTGGTGTGACAGTCAGCAAAGAGATGATACAGTGGTGTATGTTCATCGAAGGAAGTGAAAACACAATGTCAGAGATCAAATACTGCTTGTTACTCATCTACTGCCTGAGGAGGTTTGAAGCATGAGGTGGGTTTCCAAAGTTTGGCTTCCTAACAGTGCTTGAATTCTACACTAAAGCCAGTTCAAACCATTTGTTCAACCTGCATCAGCACAGGTGACTAAAGACGTCAACCTTACCACTATCATATTAGTTAGGTAGAGTGGTTCACAAACTTTTTAACATGACGCCCCTTGCTTTTTGTGAAGTCCTCAGCCGCCCCCCCCCCCTTATATTTTTGTATGTAAAATCTACACAGATTCAATTTTTTTTATTAATTATATTGTATTGTTGAGGGAGGATCGGTGGCTGGTAGTGTTGTGAAAGATATGAGTAGTGTGTGAGTCAGTATGGTATCCCTGACATGTACAGTACAAGACGCATAAGGAGAGAGAGATGTAATGATAGAAAACGGATAGAGGTGACTGCTATACCCTGTACTTTGGTTTTGCACAGATGTGTGGAAGATTCAAACGGAGAGAGAGTTACTTCCGAAAGTGTTTCTTCGCGCTCCCCTGTACCCACCTCACGCCCCCCAGTTTGGGAACCACTGGTTTAGTACAATACTTCAGAGTAAATGATACTCTCACAGGTCATGTCTGATATCCCATACTATCCACACACATTAAACATTATGGTGTAGTATGTCATAACCTTTCTGAAAACAAATAATGCTTCAAAATAATCATAAATAAGATATGTTTCTTAATACTAAATAAATAATGAGTATTCTAACAAGTTACAGGTGACATTACATCATGAAATGAGTGACTTGTTATTCTAAGGAAATAGTCATAAATTATATGACTTTCCATTTAAAGTATAACTATTGTATATATTTCAGTAAACACAATGTAGAAACTGGAAACCAAAGTTAGACTTGACAACGTCTTATTTCTAACAGATGGTATGCAGCAATATAAACCCCCAGAAACAGAACTTAACTATGAGGTTAACTGAATCATAATACAGGTATCCCCCTATTTACGATGGGGTTACGTTCCTGAAAAACTCATCGCAAGTTGAAATATCACAAATTAGGATCCTTATTACATGGGGTTCAAGGGATACGGTCCCAGCCAGTTCAACACTCACATCCACAGGTATCACCAAAAATATAATTCCTACAATAATAATAGACATAAAAAACAATTAAACAACACTCATCACATTATTAAGAACAAGCCTGGTTGTCATCACATGTTCCCTTCAAGGCTAAGGGGATGCTTGAAGGAGATGTCACTCTGACTCCCACACAGCTCCACAATGTCAAGCTTTACCTCCATTTACACAGTTTCCCTGGGTGCCTTGGCCTTCCCACACATATTCAAAGTTACACTGCTCACTTCACAGTCACAAACCAGAGCAAAAGCACTTGTCACAAAATCAGAGCAAACGATAACATAAGAACAAAGATAGCGGCCAGCACTGCTTACATCACGTTGACAATAACAGAGGCAAAGCACTTTACAGTTACAAAAAACATAGCAAAAGTCCCTTTACAGTCACCAAAACAAAGTACAATATGAACGCTAGTGATATCCCCTCACTTTAAGGTAAAATAAAAAAAACACCAATGATAAGTAAAAACACCGATACTGTACTGACCGATAATTGTTGAACTACACGATTACGGGCATGTGCAATCAGCATGGAACAAAGTTTGAGATTGTAGTGCATCGGGTGGCCACGTGTGGGTAGACCGCAGCTGACAAGTGCAGCGAGAGATGCATTCCATATTCAGCTTGTCAGTGATTTTGGCTGGACAATGACTATCATTCATGTGATTTTTTTTTAAATGTAAATAGGGGTGGCCTTAGTACATCACCATCATTTAAGCGAAATATTGTAGAACCGAATATCGTAAATCGGGGAATACCTGTACAGTATTCTAAAAATATTGGTGATATCATATGGTGCGTATATGAAGAACCTCATCAAGTTTCCACAGACCATATCAGCTATTTTCATAAAAAGTTCTTACCCTTGAAGCATCGCAACCTAAGATTTGCAAACAAAATGAAAATGCAAGTTATGATCAAAACAGCAGCAAAGAAGAAAAATATACAGGTATTGTACCTAGTTTCTGGGAATCTCTCCCCAAAGAGTTCTGGAAGGTGCTGGTCTCGATTACTAAGTGCTGCTGTGGATGTCTGGTTTATTGTAATGTGTTGGTCAGAATGGCCTGAATCTGGAATTGAGGGAAAAGTATAAAAATCATATTTGTGCAAATTTTACTTTGTATGTAAGCTGAGAATGTAGAAAATGTATGTATTGAGTGTTGAAACTTGTACTTTCTTAAATTTTCTTGTGCCTTTATATTAACCTAATCCTTTTCTTGAAGGCTGCTTCCACTGATCTATCCCAGGCACAAGAGAGTGGAGGAAAAATAATAAATACACAGAGTAACATCGCAACACAAATTATGTGGAATATAATCACAACAAGACAACATGATCACACTCTAACTTCTTCGCCAATACTGTTCCAATGCTTTCCTCTTTCCCCCTTTGTCTTTACTTCACATACCCATGACTTGTCACTTACCAAAAATGGTTAATATAAATGTGTACGTATATGACATCACTCTGTCATTTACTGTTATGTTAGATATGACTAGCGACCCTGTACACCACCTAAATATCATCTTGCACTCAAATTCTCACTTCTACTATAAACTGGGAAACACTAACTTTATAACAGCTCTTGTTTCTATAACTTAAAACTGACCATCTCTCAGAACCACGAGAACTTCAAGCTATCACATTATATAATGCTAAACATAAATCACAGCCCATCTTAGAACAAATTATTCTCCAAGAGCTGTTTTTATAGGGGGGTGGGATAAATTTTGTTCTTACCTTTATTACTGTATAGTACAATCCTGTCCTATACAGGCAATGTACAATTGGCTCCACTCCAGACTTTACCACTTAGCATTGCCAATCCTCTCTCTCCTTCAGATCTGATCCCCAAACACTGAACTCTGAATTTGAAGCATTCACCTAGTGAGTAGGAGGGAGACGGGAGGGGTGTGTCTTTTTGTGGGGGGAGACAAGGTACCAGGGGTGAGAAGGGAAAGTGTACAGTATCTCAGTTGGGAAGATTACAATGCAGATTAATTCTTTGACAATACCGACGGGTCTCCTCAGCCGAGTGTAATCATCTAACGCTAGCCAGATGAAAGTACAGGTTGACAACCCTTTTCCGAAATTCCGAAAGCCGAAAAGCTCTAAAAACCGAAAGTTTTTTATGGGGCTTTTTTTCTTTTTAAAACAGGGATTAGCCCACCCAGGCATAAATCACTGACTCACATCAGGGCCTGGTGGGCGAAAATGTAATAGTAATAATAATTATAATAATAATAATTATTCATAGTAAATAAAATTTGTAATTAAAATACTGTACGGGGTACACCAAAATAAAATAATAATGATAACAATAATAATAATAGTAATAATAAAATACAATAATAAAATTAATAATAATAATAATAACAATAATACTGTAATAAAATAATAATAATAATAAAGAAATACAAGAATGAAAAAAAGATCAAAAGTGAGAAATGCGACCTAGACCTATGAATTATTATTACAGTATTATTATCATTATTATTATAATATTTTTGCCCCCCACCCCAGGGGTGATGTTGATCTATGCTCAGGTGGGCTTATAAAAAAAAAAAAAAAAAAAAAAACCTAACCATTCTGACAACCGAAAAATTCCGAAATCCAAAATGCCTCTGGCCCCAAGGATTTCGGATAAGGGATTGTCAACCTGTACTTAAGTTACAATAGGATGAGTTCATGTTCTAAGTAAGGTGTTCCTTTGTAAAAAGGAACATTTAGGAGCAAATGGAATATGGATATGTTTGAATCTGTATCTTGTAGAAGCAGTAAAGTTTTGTCTAATCCCTGACTATGAGATGGAACTTCCCCGGCTGAATAAAGTCGTGTGCAGGTATCCAGAATGAAATAGATAAAGATACATTGTACTGAAGGGATTAATTAGCAATCAGAACAACCAGGAAGTGGGCACCACATAGTAGTGGGCACCACATAGTAGTGGGCACCACATAGTTCAGTTGTGCCAAACAGTAAAAGGTAAAAAAACAAAAGACATTATTATTATGAAATACTGTATGCAATTTATGATACAAAGTGATATTACTGTTACTTAAAGGTGTTAAATAATTAAATTTCTTGGTAGTGCACTCAATGTGACAGCAGCCCTGGACATTGTTGGTGGTGGAACCCTCAACCCCCCACTCCCCCTACTCTAGGTTTCTGTTACTCAAACCATTGCAGACAATTTACACAGTAGAATAATGTTGTGCTCTCTCATTTCCACGAGGCAATTATGATTTTTATTTAAGCTAAAATGAGTCCGCCCAAGCGCAATTATAAAAATAATACAAATACAGTAATATCTCTGTTAGCCGGAATCCCTCAAACCCGGAACTTTCCGATAGCTGGAAGAGAAATTTTCTCAAAAAATTGTTCCCAAAGCCGGAATTTTACAGAAAATTCCGACTTTAGGAACGTTTTCCGAAGGGCACACTTCCCAGAAAATTCTGAGAAAATTTTCAAGATACCCGAAAAGTTCCGGGGATGGGGGAATTTTTTCCAGGTTTGAGAGATGAAAATCAGGCGCATTTTCTGGAAATTCCAAGACAAATTTTCCGTTACCCGGAAAATTCCGAGGATGAGGGATATTTTTCCAGGTTCGAGAGATGACGTAATGGACAATTTCTGGAACTTCCGAGAACATTTTACGTTACCCGGAAAATTCCGGGAATGAGGGATTTTTTTTACGGCTTTGAGAGAGTCGTCTCATTACCCGGAAATCTCTCATTCCCGGAAATGCTCTGCACCAATTGTTCCGGCTACCGGGGATACCACTGTACAAGTGATGCTCAGTATTTCGAGCACCAGGGTGAGGCAGTTATTAGTCTTAGCTACTTCACACTATTAGGTGTTAGTTAGAATAAATGTCATTTTCCACACATTTTGGGTGTTTTAATTGTTGCACCTTATGCTACTACTCAACTGTATGTATATTATGGCAGAAAGAAGAAGCATAATGTAGGATGTTTGGGCCATGGGCCACGACCCCTGGACGTTCTGGCTATGAACCACAACCCCCAAACATTTGATTCATGGGTCAAAATAACAATATAATACCTAACCTAACCTGCAGGCTCTTGACCGGAAGGTTCTTGGGGGTATTGAAGGGATTATAATTTACAGTCAAGAAATTTTTGGTCCATGGCCCAAACGTTCACCCTACATACAGCTCGTGGCCCAAACGTTCACCCTACATACAGCTCGTGGCCCAAACGTTCACCCTACATACAGCTCGTGGCCCAAACGTCCACCCCGTTCACCCTACATACAGCTCGTGGCCCAAACGTTCACCCTACATACAGCTCGTGGTTTAGGCCCAAACGTTCACCCTACATACAGTTCCGAGGCCCAAAACGTCCACTCCTACATACAGCCTGTGCTCAAACAAACCACCCCTACATACAGCTCGTGGCCCAAATGTTCACCCTACATACAGCTTGTGGCCCAAACGTTCACCCTACATACAGCTCGTGGCCCAAACGTCCGAATACCATTCTGGCGTTAGTCTATCTATGCCACATAGTAACCAGATAAAGGATTATTATCAAAAAAATAAAATTTTACCTCATATGCTCATGACATCAAGCAGACAAAAATATGTATTGCTCACTTCCTGATTACTTTGATTGCTAATTAATCTCTTCAGTACAATGTCTTTTTATCTATTTTATTCTGGGGAAGTTCCATCTCATAGTCAATTGGATAAAACAAAATTTCACTGCTTCTACAAGATATATATCCAAACATATCCATAATGCCAACTTTTGCAAAGGAACACCTTACTTAGAACATGAATCCATCCGCCTCTCATACTATCGTAACTTCAGTATTTTCAACTGATTAGTGCTAGACAATTACTTCATCAGAGGAAACCTCGTCAGTACTGTATTGTCAAAATGTTATCCTGTATTGTAATCTGTTCCTAATGATATACATTCTCCATCCTCATCCCTCTACTAGAACCTAGTCTCCTCCCCACAGAATCACACACAGTTGTAAAGTAATGAAATAATTTTGCTTGAGTAATGTACTCGAGTATCATTTTTGGGTTTCTTCTTTTTAAAAATACAAAAAAAAAAATTTTACTTTTACTTTAGTATGGTTTTCTAATAATTTTACTCCAATAAAATTGAAAAAAAAAAAGTTACTCGTTACATGGACCAAACAAACAAACAAAGAGTTTTAATGTCTGTGACAAATTAATAATATTTTTATTAATTAATTAATTAATAATTAACCACAATAAAAGAGTTGTGTGGGGGGAGCCACGAAGGGTAAGGTGTGGGGAGATACCAAGTGGTCACATACCTAGAGGTCTCGTGAGGTGAGGTTAAGGCAGTGGCCAGGACAGCGGACTTTCCCTTTGATCTTCTTGTGTCCATTAGAACCTTGACCACCCACCTCACCTAGCCTACCCTCTTATTCCCCCTCCCCCATCAATCTCCTCTCTTCTCTTTGCATATACCTGTACCTAAGATTAATTTAAATGAGGTTCAGAATCTAAAATGCTTTACATTATTCCATCTTAGATATAAAGCAGGTATCTATATAAATATGTGTGAAACTGAGTGTATTTAAAATTCTGCTTAAATAAATAACTAAGTACCACTAAGTACCCCTCGCCAGCACCCGCTAGATGTTACGTGGTGCAAAAAATTCAGCCACTCATCAATTAGAAGGGACAGTTCACAGGGAGTCTTCGTCAGACTCAGTCACTATGGAGGCAACAATCATCCACAAACTCCTCAACTGAAAGAGCTTGATAGCTACTTGGCATGCCCAGGGGATGGAATGGAGCTACTGAGGTCTTTCCCGACATTATGTGACTTATCTCTCAAGCTTAACACCCCACAACCTGCATCTGGTGCTTGTGAGCATCTATTTAGTCAAGCTGGGCTTATTATTCAATATTTAATTAATTCATTACACCCCAGGGGGCTCCAAATCTGGTCACAAGACCATGCGGTCAGACAGTAATACATTGGTAATCGTGTCTCGCCAGGCACTCTATGAATTGTGATATGGGGACAATATTGATATGATTTAAATAGGAGTAAGCACCCACCAAAGCATGGGTAGCATACCAGAATTAAATCGAACTTATTACCAATACAGTGATATCTCCGTTAGCTGGAACAATTGGTGCAGAGCACTTCCAGGAATGAGAGATTTCCGGGTAACGAGACGACTCTTTCAAAGCCAAGAAAAAATCCCTCATCCTCAGAATTTTCTGAGTAACAGAAAAATGTTCTTGGAAGTTCCAGAAAATGACCATTAGTACATCATCTCTCAAACCCGAAAAAATATCACCCATCCCCGGAATTTTCCTGGTACAGTCAGTTCTGCTATAACACGTGTTTTGTCAACGCGAATTGGCTATAATGCGATTGATGAATAGAAGAACAATATTTACAAAACGCAAACGCGTGTTGGCTGTAATGCGATTCCACTCGAACGTTTTAAGTGTACTGTACTGTCGCTTGGCGTGGGGTTATGCAGTGTTTACAGTTCATGTTTGACATCACAGGTTCAATTGATTCATGTGTTTTGTTTGTGAAATGTTATTTGATAGGGACTCTATAAATTTCATCCTTTTTTTTGCAAATTTAGCTGTTCCCATAAATACTGTATGAAAAAAATTAATAAAAATAATGTTTCGCAGTGCGGACTAATTAGCGTTTTACACCCGCGCTCTCTGTTTACATCCCGCGATCAGTTTAAACACGTGGGTTGTTCTGAAGCGTCCTCAGTGATTTTTGCTTGCTATTTCTCCAATTTTGTGGTATTAACTGTGAATATGGAAAAGAAGAATATCTCCAAGAAGCGTTCTGGTGATCGCATTCCCGGTGGTGATCGTAAAAGAAAGGCTATAACACTTGAAGAGAAGCTTGATGTTATCAACCTCAAAATCACCCTTCTCCCCCCACCAAGTTACATTCATATTTTTTCAAGGTAAAGTGTTACATTTACTGTATGATTTCATTATTAGATATGAATGTAACATTTATTTAGACTGTGCTATCCTTTGTGTTAGGCTAACTACTAAATTTTTTTCAATTTCGAGCAATCTGCACCTAACCCTATTTTCTCCATAAGCCCTGTTATTTCCATTGCGCGAATTTCTACAACGCGAGGTTTTACAAGAACACAACTATCGTGTTATAGCAGAACTGACTGTACCAGAAATTTTTTATCTAAATTTCTGGAAAATGTGCCTCATTTTCATCTCTCGAACCCAGAAAAAACTCCCCCATCCCCGGAATTTTCCAGGTAGCAGGAAAATTTTCTATGAATTTTCCAGAAAATCGTTCCCAAAGCCGGAACTTTCTGGAAAATTCCGGCTTTGGGAGCAATTTTCAGAGAAAATTTCAATTCCGGCTATTGGAGAGTTCCGGGTTTGAGGGATTCCGGCTAACAGAGATATTACCGTAAGTAGGTGGTGACATGGTGGTTAGTGACTCATCCTGTGGTAGGAAGTCCCTGACAGTGGGACAGTCAAGGCAATAATGTTGAAGGGTGTTAGTGTTGGGACAATTACAGAGTTTACAGGAAGAGAAGTGTGGGTCATCCCCCACCTCAGATACTTGCCAGATAGGTCTGTACCCTAACCTAATGTGAGCAGAGACAACATTATGTCTGCGGACCTTTAGTTCACATCGGCAATACCTGTACTAGTATGAATAAGAAACAAAGTGATCATTGTGTTGGATGGATATATGTTAAGCCCGTTCACCATCCCTGCAATGGATTGTAAGAAGAGTGGCTGAAGGTGCTCTCTTTCGGTAGGTCATGCTGGGCTTATATTTAGGCCTAAGAGATCTGGATTGGACAGCCATAATTTTTAGAATCAGTTATTGATTAATCCTAATAGAAAGATTTGCAAATAAACATGTGTAATGTTGTGTCTTTTATTTTGATCTTTATTTAACTATTTTTTTATATATAATTTACTGTGGATTTATTTTAATATTTGATACAAATAATAATTTTGTTGTTACTTTTTACTTTCAGTACTTGAGTACTTTAAGAATAAGATACCTTTTTACTACTATTTGAGTACTTTGAAATTTGGATACTTTTACTTCTACTTGAGTAACATTTTGCCAATGTAACAATACTTTTATTTAAGCAACAAAGTCTAGAATTTTTTACAACTCTGGAAACACAACTATCCTCTGCTCTCTCTCTCTCCTGCTCACTAGCAAATGCTTCAAATTCACACTTCTGAGTTTGGGGGTTCAGATGTCAGGGAAAGAGACGACTGGCAATGCTAAGTGGTAAAGTCAGGAGTGGAGCCAACTGTACATACAGTTCTTCCAACTTTGAGGGAGAGGGGGAGCAGGAGGGGTGTTTCCCAATATTCCTCAAACCTTCTGACAAAATCTAACCTATATGCCAAGAGCCATAACCATACTACTTCCAAGCTAACCTGGCCTGTAAGCTGATTGGTTCATAGAAAATGTTTTTGTAGCTGTCCATATATTCAAACTAAATGTGTTCACAATTGGTAAGCAGACCTCAGGTCGCGACACAAATCAGGGTCGTGTGGTGTCCTCAGTAGGGTTGCGAGGGGCCCTCAGACAATTTAAAAAATATAGTACCTATCATAAAGTCATAAACAAATTTTTGCTTAACATTCAAGCTACAGTATAGTCTCGTTTTACCGGTCAATTAAACCCATGGAGGTCCGCGTATAACTCGAAACGCGTAAACGAAATAACAGAACATATGGGATTAATTGAAATACATAGAGACTGGGCCGACCGCCAGACTACCCTTTTTCCGACACAATACGTACATTGCAGTAAAAATAACATCTTAATTTTATGATGGTATGCACACACAATTGATATTTAAGAGAAATATCAATAATATTAGGTTTTTTAACACTTACATTAGTAGAAGAGATGGCTGGGCACACGGGGATGGGGGGTTGGTTCCGAGGCAGAGGGCAGATTAATGGCCCTCACCTGTATCACTTGTATCAATTGTATCACTATCCAACACAGAGGCTAGCGGGGCCTCCTTGTCAAACCCCTCAAAGTCTATATCCTCACTATCACTATCACTGACTTGGGCTGGCTGTGGTGGGTGGCGGGCACGAGGGAGTATACGCGGAGACGGGAGACAATGGGACTGACGCAGTCAAGGTCATCAACTTATCGCCCCTGGTGGCAGGGCAAGCAAAGTTAAATAGACCAATCACAGCTCGCGGCGGAGGGGGTGCGTGGGTGGTAAGGATACGTGGCCCAATCACAGTCCGAAACGTCATCTGACGTCAGCGGTGACGTAAGAGCGACCTAGCGCGCAACTTGTCCGCGCCGCTTCCCGCGTAAATTCAGGAATGTACAGCATAACTAATAATTGGCGCGTCTGGACAGGTGCCGCGTAAATGACCAACCTCGTATAAAAAATCCGAGTAAACCGAGATTATACTGTATATAATATATTATATGCCTGAGGGTCACGACACAGTATTGTTGGGAAATTTAGGGTCGCAGCCAAAAAAGGTTGGGAACCACTGATTCTAAAATAATGTTAAATTTCTGGACTATCAAAATGCAAATAATTTCAAGGCATTAGCACTTCAGAGAGCATGATATAAAAAATTTAATATTTATCATAAAAGGTTGATGTACAGTAAATACACGCTTATACATGCGCAGTCCAGGGGGAGGCAAAAAGCTCAGGGGAACCAATCAGCTACAGGGGGATTATTTGAAGCTACAGAAGAGGGGCGTGGCTTACGGGCCAGGTTAGCGTGGAAATTCTATAGTAAGTACCACATGAATCTACTACTAACAGCAGTGACAGTACAGTATACAGTATAGTAGAGATGACACAGGTACAGATTAAATACACAGTGTGTTCACAGAAAATGTATAAAGTTTTTATACTTTTATAAACACAGATAGCTACTGTGCAGGCACATCTAATCATCTGGTAATTCAGAAGCAAAGTTAGAGGCCGACTTGCAGCAAATGATATTTTGTAGATTACAATTTAACATCTTTATTAAAACTATTGGCATCAGATGGTAGAAAACCCAAGTGAGAAAAGCACTGTAGTACCTTGTATAATGGCAGTATCCCATTATAGCCCAGTACTGTATGTTGCCACTTAACAAATATTATGTCATTCAATCTCTATGACTAGCCCTGACAATTCTTTATCTTCTACCTTTACTATAAAACTAAACAATATTTGGAACTTTTTTCTGCTGAAGACTGTAGCATGTTATCAGCTTTACTGAAAACTTACCATTGTCATCTTTGTTGTCTTTGTCTTCGCTGGTCAACATTCCGACAAGTGCATTTACAGTTTCAGATAATTCCAGTCCATTTGCCAAATCAAAATCTTCTGTTTCTTCTTTGATGTTTACTTCTACAGCAGGGTGCTCTTCCTCGTCCATTTCTGTATCTGCCACAACTTCTTTTTCCATTTTTATTTTTAAAAGTTCCTGCAATAATATTTCAATAAGAGTTATGTGCAAAAGTATCATAAAATGCATGTACATATACAGCACTATACTGTACTGTACTGTCCATAATGAAGTGTAGTACAATACAGGCAGTCCTCTCTATAGCTACAAAAAGGATACATTCTGAAGATGTGGGAAAAAGAAATTTAAAGAGATTTTCCCATTGACACTTATAAACGAAGGATGCATTCCTGGGAGCTGATTTTAAAAAACCCAATGCAACCAAAACTAACCAAACTGAATACAAAAGAAGTAATATCTCAATTAACCTGTTCAATGCTCTCAATACTTTAAGACGTTGTTTTGGCTACTGCCAGATGATTTTATTCAGCTTAGAGAAGACTTCCAGCATCTTTTTTGTCTGTTTTAACTGTGCCTTCCCTTTCCTGAAGCGAGGATGTGTGTGAAAATTGTAATTAATCTTTTCCAGACATTAATAAATTAATGCATTACTGTATATGCAATAGATATTTTTGTGAAGCACGGCATTCTTAGAAAAACTGCAACCTGTGGGCAATGCAATAGACCCTGTGCCTACAGGCAAGAGATAGACAGTTAAAATTGTTAAGATATTTATGGTTAAGTTAAGTTTGATTAGGTTAGGTTACATGACTTGCACACCTAAACTACTGTAGCTATCTACCATACTGTAGGAGATTTCACCATAAAATGTAAACAATTTCTTACTTCATTTAATAACATATTTACATTTTTTTATGCATTTCATCTGCACAGAGGACTCCAAAATCCACCTGCCATGTCTGGTACATTCGTTGTTTATCTCGGAATCGTTGCATTTTCATACTTTTATTCAGAATATTAAACTAGCTACAATATAACAGTACTGTAGTAGCCATTTTAGGTTAGGTCTGAGTAAGTTAGGTTCATTTTATGAACCATAAAATATTGATGAACCCTTTTGGCAACTCCTGACAACTGCTAACACTCATGAGGTACCAGATTCTATAATTTATGATTCATAAAATGAGCCAAACTATCCTACCAAACCAAACTTAACCTAACATAAAATACTGAGTAATCAAACAGAAACAAATTTAAAAGTATTATTAAGGTCCATTGTGCATGCAATCGATCACCGAGATGAAAACAATAAAACGTCAGATGACCGGTTTACGGCACCACATCCGTTAATTGAAGCAAAAAGAAATTGTAAAATTTATATCTTGCAAAAAGTATTAATCGTTTATATTTCATCAATTTCGTGAAGTAAGAAATTTTTACAGTCGATGGTAAAGTGTCCTACAGTAGGAAGTGAAGGTGCACTACTCATCTACACTGTAACCTGGTTAGGTCTACAATAGTTAGGTTTGATTAGGTTTGGTTAAGTCTAATTAGGTTTGGTTTGGTCTGATTAGGTTTGGTTTAGTTAGGTCTAATTAGGTTAGGCTTAGTTAGGTTTGTATTTTTGAAACCGCCATTTTCCGGTTAGTTTTTCTACTGAGGCATTTGCCCAAGAAATTAAGGTTAAAATGAACAAAACAGTTTTACATCAGAAAAATACAAAATTATCATAAAATACAAATGGGCTTTATTCAAATACAGTACAGGCAGTCCTTGGGTTACATACGAGTTCCTTTCCTACAGAAAAATGTTTAAAATCCCACTATATCATAGCCTAAGTCCTTATATACATTCAAAATACAGCAAATGAAATTATTGAAGTAAAAAAAAAAAAAAATATCATCATGTAAATAAAATACTGTAAATTTAAAGTTTTACTTTAAGGGACCTCATTTGTATCAACAGATGTTTATAAGTCTGACATACATAACCCCAGGACCTCCTGTATTCACCAAGGTGTTTTCTATAGCGAACTTAAGCTATTGTACAACATGCCCGGATAATTCGCAGATTTTTATTTCGCGGTCCTCTATTATTCGTGGATGACACCCTGGATATACCCAAGAATGTCTGCGGGTAGTTTTAAAGTTGCCGTCAATTTCGCGGCCAGTACGGAGAGCACGCGAGTTTCATGATGTCCCGCAAGGTGTCTCTCTTGTCTTGGGAGGCTGGCCCACGCGATTTGCGCCTCAGTCCGGGATAAACACTTTTCCGTCTCGCTTGTGTGTTACTTTGCTCTCTTAACAACTGTGCTGCTCGTGCTTGTGATGGCTCCCAAACACCCTCAACCATCTTCATCTAGCTGTGGGAAAGCGCTCAAATAAGTGAAGAGAGAAAAGAGGGTCGTGTATTTCTCCCATACGTATGCCTGGCTTCACCTGGCAACGGGAGCAGGTGAAAGGAGTGACTGCCAGTCAGCTTGACGTCTGCAGTTGTATTTCTCCTCCTCTCCCTGCCATATTTCACTGGATTTACTGTTATTAATAGTTATTACTGAAAGAATAGTGCTTAATAGTGATTAATCATGTCATTGTAGCTAGGTTAGCTCATTGTAACCACCAGGCAACTGGGCCAAGCTGTGATGTGTTATATTTTTTTTCAACTCGCATTTTTGGATAGATATACGTAACCTTCTTCATTTATTTTTACTCATTTACATGCACACTGTGAAAAAGTATACAGTATTACACCACAATTACTGACATCCTTCATGTTGGCTTGGCTAGACGGCTACGAAAGAAATAATGTAAGTTTGATTTACGCGTTGCTGGCACCGTATGACAACTCAACCAACTCAACTTTAATAACAAAGGACGGAGTTGATTTGAGGGTAGACTCGCATTTTTTCTACATTACCGGTACATTTTCTTGTCGTGTTTCTTATTATTTGAGAGGACTTCCCCATTACTACTTATTTGTATGCATTTTAATAATAATAATAATAATTAATGGTTTATTAAACGAGCATGGCAGCAGGAAGGCTGAAAATATACAGTTACATAATTGGGGAATGGATCACTTGATTGACAAATAATATAAGTGATACAAATGTGATATATAATAATGAAGTGGGGAGAAGTTTATACTCTCAGGCATTTCAAGTAACAGTGCAAAAAGGTAAGATTGGCTGGGAGTGAATAAATACACTTTTTGATTATGAGTTGTTGTTAATTTTTATAATGGTTGGGACTGGACTGTTCTTATAGTCAGAGAGTGAGTGTGTGTGTGTGTGTGTGTGTGTGTGTGTGTGTGTGTGTGTGTGAGTGTGTGTGTGTTTACACACACATATACAATACTGTACAGGTAAAAGAAATAACTGTCCTAAGAGCAAACACATAAAGGGAATATAGATTTCTTTGCACACAAGTAAAAATGTAACCCCCCCCCCCTCCCTCCGGTCAGCTAATGTTATTTGAGGCCATTTTGAGAACCTAACCCTTGCAAATTTGAAGGGCATGCTGTGTATACAGTATATATATAAACTGTATATACACTTACTCCTCGATTTACAACATACTCGACCTACGACCACCCGGACATACGATTGCCTCAGTCATACCAAAATTTTGTCAAATTACGTATTTTCGAATCCTAACGTTAGTGATTGCGCTGTGTACTGACAAAAAAATTTTTTGTAATTCACTTTAAAATGGTTGGCAAGCTTAAAAGTGAGAGTTTTGTGGTGCTGAGAAGAAAAAGAGACACCCATTTTAGATTTTCTATGTACTGTAGTTAGATTCCAATCCCATATTATAGGTTTGGATACATTTCCAATTTCTTTGGAGTATAGCTGGATTCTAAGTGAACTGTATGTTTGTATACTTATTGTTCTTTTCCAGGAAGAGAGACAAGCTAGCCATCTTGTGGAGGATGCAGACTGTCTCCAAGCGTTCATCTGTCAACATGGACTAGTTGGCAGGACGCTAAGTGTTCAAAATGGAAGAAGTATAGGAACATACAGTTCACTCAGAAACCAATTATATTCCAAACAATTTGGAAATGTATCCAAACCTATAATATGAGATTTGAATCTAACTACTGTACATGATTCTCATCATTTATACATAGAATGAGCTTAACAATCTAATGCAACAAAAGATAAAAAAATAAATAAATAAAGGGATTTGCACAAACATTATATAAAGGAATCAGGAAAGTGAAGCATAAAACATGAAAGAGAAGACAATCAAGCCAATATTATGGTAAGAAAACCCCTACGGTAATGTGAGGTTCCATCATTTATTTTTAAGCTACCCGGTAACAAAGACAGGATTCAAAATTTATTAGTTTAACTCCAAAGGTAAATATCGGCAAAATATTTATGGAAAATAATTTATTTTTTCACGTACAAAGCACAGACACGAAATGACTGTCTTATGATCTTTCATACCCTACCCAGCACAGGTGATTTATGACTGTCGATAGAGAAAACACAACAAAACAAAAAACCCTAAAATTAAGGGTAATACTGATCACTAACCTGCCAACACGTTACTTGTTTCGATGTTTATTTTCTTACTATACTGTATTTTCATTAATGAGTTCTGATATGAAAATAATTTCTTTGGAAAATTATTCATTTGGTAGATAATTAGGCAGTCAATATTTAGAAAATGACACCAGGCAACTGAATATTGAGTCATATACATGGGGAGATAGAGAAAAAATTAATTAAAATAATTTAATCTATTACGTTTCCATCGGAAATTTATAGTTATCGAATAAAAGTAAAAAAAAAAGTAAAGTATAATAATTGGCCAATCAGTGTGAGTGTTGATGTGACATAGTCATGAGTGCCAATCAGTGTGAGTGCTGATGTGATGCAATACTCATGTGCTAATCAGCGTTCGCAGCCAGTTGGAAGATGGTGTCTGTGTGAGATGGAGGTACATTGGCTGGCTGCTGCATTAATCGGTGCACTTTGTACAATGAAGCAGCAGCCGTTGTAATTTTTAGGGTTCACGGTGTTCTTGTTTCATCTGTAAAGTGTCCAAGATGTAATTCAGAGTGTCAATACTGTGTAGATCGCCATGTATGCTACTGTGATATCAGTCAGACACTGATGGCCACTTCCTCATTCAAGTCACATCATTCTATCCTCCAATCAATCAATGGTTAGAGACAGGTGGAAGAAGGTTTAGGGGAAGGATAAAGGGGGTGAAGGAAGGGAGTTGTAGAAGGAGAGGATAGATGCCGTGGCTTAACACAGCTTGCGGGGTAGTGGGGCCGAGCCCTGAATGGTGGAGGCAATTTCACGACCAGACTCGGCAGTGGGAGACTGGTGGCGGCAGGTTGTCTAGTAGTGTTGACTTGACTTTTGTTTCTTCCTTACTTCAGGTCGGCTTGATCTCTTGTGAGTTTCTTGGCTCGATTACTGCTTTCCGATGGGCGGGCTGCTATGGGTCTTGTTCTTCCTTGTGTCCTAGTTGCTAGTAGAAGGTGAAGAAGTCGTAGAACGTGAGGTGTTGGTCTGCAGGGGCAGCTGGTGCAGGGCCAACAAGGGCAGCTGGTACTTGTGTCTTTTCTTGGATCTTCTTTTCTTGTTTTTTCTTCTCTTCTTGATTCTTGGTCTCTTGTTTATTCTTATTGGTCCTATCCTCCCAAATCTCTTACTTAAGGTAGGTTTCTTATACACTAAGGGTTAGGTTAGGTAGGTTATTTTTTTTTTTTTAGGTTTTTACATTGTTTGACCTTTTTCTTTTTTCCCCAATATCTTAACTACTGCTCATTTCCAACGGAAATAAAGCTCATTTTTATATTTAACACGATGATTTACACTAGAAAAATCAATTTTCGGTAAATTTTTACTTTAGGACACGAGTCCCTATGAGTTTACCAATATGTTTTTCCATTGTATTTTGATGTGTTTTAAACAAATCTGACCTTCATTTTTGTCCGAAATTGCTCGTCTCCCCCTCCCCCCCCTCAACAATAATGGGGAAGAGCCTGGGAAATCAGGGTTTTGGGTGTGGGAGAAAACGAAAACGAGTCATCTGACCTAACAAAATGTTTCAGTGTAGTTTAAAACTTTCGGGTGCGCCATGTCCGAAAGTCTTTCTCATAAAACTCAGCAATTAACTTAAAATAATCGTAGGAGCACAAATGACAACCAGCCTCCACCGCGACAATTTTGAGACTGGTCAATGAAATTAAAATACTGTAGTACCCAGGATGCTTCCTTTGAAAAAAATCAAATGTGGCTGGCCGAAAAAAATTTGCGTGATGATAACGATATTGTACATCATTGGTCACGACTGGATGACGTCAGTCAATATTGCGCATGCGTGATGCGTCGATAACACCCCCTCACAGAAGACTGAAAACTATGTAAAATCAATTAAATTCAATTGTGTTACTATTATCCATTTCTGCTTGGTATATATGGGGCTCAAAATGCTCAGAATAGGGAGATTTAAATGTTTCAGTAGTTTATAACTTTCGGGCGAGCTATGTCTGAAAGTAAAATAATACCCAATTTTCAATATTCAGTTGCCTGGTGTCATTTTCTAAATAATGACCAATTAGGCATCTAGGCGTGCATTATTTTGTCTTGGTAGTAATGCAGCGGTGATGTCATGTCCTGTATGTAAACATGCCAATCATACTGACACTCCAATCAACGCCAGTGTATGTCTATGAGCCGCACGATCCAAGTGGCTGCTCTCACATCCACAAAAAATTTAAGATTACACTATATTATAGTAAGTTCTTTCTGTTTAATATGCTAGGGAGGCGGAGCCCCACGGCTAGGAAGTTAGGTAAGGTAAGGTAGGTTTCTTTGGTTAGGTTGGTGAGGTCTTCTAACAACACTTCTGCCACTTGTTTTTCTTAGTAACTAAGGTTAGGTTAGGTTTAATTAAGAAATAATCACTCTTTTAACACAATTACCAAAACTACGAGTGTCCACTATAAAACACAGTGAAATTGCGACGTTCTTTAAATCATTTTCTAAGAAAATTCAGCAGCAGGTCAGTCATCAATAATTACCAATGTTAAAGGAAAAAGTTGTATAATTTTTATTAGTTATTATCATCCAAACAACAATTGAGGAAATATGAACGGATTATATAAACACCTTTGGGTGCTAACCAACTCCTCCACCATAACCAGAAAGTGAAGCATTTCTCCATACACCTCATAAGCAATTGTAACTTACCCCTAAAAGCTCTTGGCCACCTTTGGAATTCAGGACATACTGAGTTATAAGTTTGTGTACTTGATGATATTCTTCTTCACCTCTTTCAAAGGGATTTATTTGCTGTCCTTTACCACAATGTCGGCATGTAACAGATATAGAATTGACTAAACCAAAAACCTTTCTGCATTTTGAATCAAACTGTTTTTCTTGACAATCATCACATTTCATGTTTATTAACCTTTGAACAACAGAATTGTGTATAAACAAGAATTCATCATCAAGAGTATCAATATCTTGACCTGTTGATTTATTCTCAGATGACACAGTTACAGGAGTGAGGACTGACTCACCACTGGCTGGCATGATAGACCTCAACTTTACCTCACTCATCTCCATCTCTATAAAATCACCAATTTCCTTTATTTTTCAGTCATTTCAACTTAACAACTCTTCACCCAATCACCATTAACTATTCGTGTCTTGGTATCATCACAGAAGCGATAGCATATATATTATACATATACATTTACTGTGTATTAATATGGTTTTATAGTTAAGGCTGACATTGGCTGGTCTGACAGCTAGGTGAGGGAGTCAGTGTTTATAGTTCACACGCCAGTCACCTGCTGTAAGGCCTCGTCTGGGACAATAACTTACATCTCAAATAAATACCTAGGAACTTTTTAATATATTTGACTTTATTATGATTCATTTCATATGGTTCTTAGGTCTTCTCGGTTTTATGTTTTTTTTATAGAAATATATTGTTTTATTTCAGTTTTATCCGCACATTTAAACAAAAATAGCATGTGTTTTTTTTTGAGATACGACAAGAAAGTACCGAAAATGACATTTTATGTTTTATTTATGATTTATAAGTTAGGCTAGGTTATATTGTGAGGTATTTTTTGTGACAGTTTGAACTCTAGGAATAATCTCCCTGAGTGACGAAGAAACTGCATTAATTGAGACTGAACGTGAAAATGACCAGTGCGTGACAGAGACGGATCGCCCGGGCGGCCAGCGAGTCGATCAGTGGTGAAGGGGATAAAAGAAAAAAGTAGGTGTGTACGTTGGCAATGAACTGAAGTTCTCGGGCCATTGTGAGAAGAGGGTAAATCAGGCAACTAAATTATTAGGTCTTATTAGAAGGTCGTTCAGATATCTAGACGGTCCGTCCTTCGTAATGATCTTCAAGAGTTTCATAAATGACATGCCTGACGTTGTACACTCCTCCATACAAATGTTTGCCGATGATGGCAAGTTATTTCGGGAAATTAAGAACCAAGCGGACTGTGAAGAGCTGCAGAAGGACCTCTGTGGGCTCCAGGAATGGTCGAAGGAATGGCTGCTGAGATTCAATGTCACGAAGTGTAAGAGGATGCACCTGGGGCGTACCAACGGTAAGGAGGCGTACCATATGTCCCAACGGGATGAAGAAAATGTACTAGTTGAGACTGTGTGTGAGAAGGACCTAGGTGTGTATGTTGACAATGAGCTGAAGTTCTCGGGCCATTGTGAGAAGAAGGTAAATCAGGCAAATAAATTATTGGGTCTTATAAGAAGGTCGTTCAGATATCTAGACGGTCCGTCCCTCGTGACGATCTTCAGAGTGAAGTGCTTCCCCATCTGGAGTACTGTCACCCCATCTGGTCCCCGAGATATGCTAGGGACTGTCAGTTGGTTGAAAATGTTCAAAGGAGGGCCACCAAACTGGTGCCTGCACTTCGGCACCTCAGCTACCCTGAGAGATTGGAGCGCCTGAACTTGCCTAGCTTATACTACAGACGGGCAAGGGGGACCTAGTTGAGGTGTATAAGCATCTCAGGGGGCACTACTCAGTTGAGTGTCCTTACTTGGAGCTGGCGGACGCTCGCCCCACAAGGGGTCACAGCTCAAGATTGAAGAAGCCGCAAGTCCAGAAAACCGTGAGGGCAAACTTTTTCGGAGTGAGGGTTGTAAACTCTTGGAACAATCTACCAGAGAGTGTTGTGACGGCACCGAGTGTGAGCTCTTTCAAGAGAAGACTTGACCAACACTGGAGCGGGTTCAGGTACATTCAGGAGCCGGTGCATGCCCAGTATTTGCCAACAGTGCGTGACAGAGACGTGACCGATCGCCCGGGCGGCTAGCGAGCCGATCTTTTGGTGAAGAATATAAATGAAAAGAGACGTGACCGATCGCCCAAGCGGCTAACAAGCCGATCAGTGGCGAAGAGGATAAAAGTAAAAAGTAAGAGTGAAGTGCTTCCCCATCTGGAGTACTGTCATCCCGTCTGGTCCCCGAGATATATTTGGGACTGTCAGTTGATGGAAAATATCCAGAGGGCCACCAGACTGGTGCCTGCACTACGGCACCTCAGCTACCTTGAGAGAATGGAGCGCAGTAAGTTGCCTAGCTTATATTACCGACAGGCAAGGGGTGACCTAAATGAGGTGTATAAGCATCTCAAAGGGCACTACTCAGTCGAGTGCCCTTACCTGGAGCTGGCGGACGCTCGCTCCACAAGGGGTCTCAGCTCAAGGTTGAAGAAACCGCATCGCCCAAGCGGCTAACGAGCCGATCAATGGTGAAGAGGATAAAAGTAGTGTAAGTTTGTAACAGCTTTGAGCTCATTCACACAAAGCTTGGCGTCACTGGCGCAACCGATACAACAAGTATTATGCTAATAACACTTTCTTGGGTACTGTATTTTGTATGGAGTAAATTCTAGGTGGAAAAAGGTTCTCAGTGGGGTGCAACAAGGCTCTTTCCTTGGACCCATCTTGTTGTGATCTACATAAACGACATATATGAAAGTATATCGAGCCACACTGTCAAGTTTGCGGACGACACTTTTTTTTTTTACTTTTTACTTTTATCCTCTTCACCACTCGTTAGTCGCTTGGTCGATCGGTCTTTTTTCTTTTCTTTTTCTTTTATCCTCTTCGCCACTGATCGGCTCGTTAGCCGCTTGGGCGATCGGTCACGTCTCTGTTACGCACTGTTGGCAAGTACTGGGCATGCACCGGTTCCTGAATGTACCTGAACCCGCTCCAGTGTTGGTCAAGTCTTACCTTGAAAGAGCTCACACTCGGTGCCGTCACAACACTTTCTGGTAGATTGTTCCAAGAGTTTACAACCCTCACTCCGAAAAAGTTTGCCCTCACAGTTTTCCGGACTTGCGGCTTCTTCAATCTTGAGCTGTGACCCCTTGTGGGGCGACCGTCCGTCAGCTCCAAGTAAGGACACTCGACTGAGTAGTGCTCCTTGAGATGCTTATACACCTCAATTAGGTCACCCCTTGCCCGTCTGTAGTATAAGCTAGGCAAGTTCAGGCGCTCCAATCTCTCATGGTAGCTGAGGTGCCGAAATGCAGGCACCAGTCTGGTGGTCCTTCTTTGAACATTTTCAACCAGCTGACAGTCCCTAGCATATCTCGGGGACCAGACGGGGTGACAGTACTCCAGGTGGAGAAGCACTTCACTCTTGAAGATCGTTATGCGGGACGGACCGTCTAGATATCTGAACGACCTTCTTATAAGACCCAATAATTTATTTGCCTGATTTACCTTCTTCTCGCATTGGCCCGAGAACTTCAGCTCATTGTCAACATACACACCAAGGTCCTTCTCACATTTAGTCTCAAATAGTACAGTTTCTTCATCCCGTTGGGACATATGATACGCCTCCTTACCGTTGGTACGCCCCAGGTGCATCCTCTTACACTTCGTGACAATGAATCTCAGCAACCATTTCTTCGACCATTCTTGGAGCCCACAGAGATCCTTCTGCAGCTCTTCACAGTCCGCTTGGTTCTTTTTTTCCCGAAATAACTTGGCGTCATCGGCAAAAATTTGTATGGAGGAGTGTACAACGTCAGGCATGTCATTTATGAAACAAACAAACAACAGCGGGCCCAACACACTGCCCTGTGGTACCCCACTTGTGACAGGTACGGACGATGATTTCGTGCCATTAATCACCACACACTGCTTGCGGTCATGAAGAAAGTCTTCTATCCACACTAGGACATTTCCCCGAATTCCGTACCCTTCCAGTTTGATTTTCAGCCTTTCGTGAGGTACACTGTCGAAAACCTTGGCAAAATCTAGGTAAATATTGTCGATATTATCATCCCGTTCCAGAATATGGGTTCAAATATCCAATACCTTGAGCAATTGTGTTAAGCAGGAGCGCCCCAGCATAAAACCGTGTTGGCAATCCTTTACAAGGTTGTTTCGTAGTAGATGTTCCATTGCGGCATCTCTGATAATACTCTCAAGTACTTTACATATTATGCTGGTCAGGCTCACAGGACTATAGTTGTTCGTGGAGTGACGATCGCCCTTCTTGAAGATAGGACTCACATAAGCCACTTTCCATTCACTGGGGAACTTTTGTTCATCCAGGCATTTACAAAACAGGATCTCAGGGGCTCAGCAAGCTCGTTGCACAACTCTCTTAGCACTCTGGGATGCACCATGTCTGGGCCGGGACTCTTATGGACCTTTAGCCTGGACAGTTTATGTCTTATAACCTATTCTGTGAACACAATGTGGGTCAGTGCTGTGTCGAACCGTCTGTCCTCAAACGCAGGAAGGTTAATTGCATCCTCTCTTGTGAACACCGAGGAAAAGAAGCTGTTCAATGCCTCAGCTTTATCCTGGTCAGAATCTGCGTAACTACCATCTTCAAGCCTCAGGTCTGACACTCCTACTCGCGTTTTTAATTTCGACTTTGCATAGCGGTAAAACGCCTTTGGGTTTGACTTGACCTCGCTTGCAACCAGCCTCTGGAACTCCTTTTCAGCCCTTCTACACTCTATCTTTGCTTGGTTTCTGGCTCTTGCATACATCCACCTGTCTTGCTCATCGTTTGACCCAACCCACGTCTTGAATTTCTGGGTTTTCCCGTCTCTGTTACGCACTGTTGGCATAAACTGGAGCAATGTCTCCTGAATGTATTTGAACCTGCTCCAGTGCTTGTCAAGTCTGGTCTTGAAAGAGCCCTCACTCGGTGCCGTCACAACACTCTCTGGCAGATTGTTCCAAGAGTTTACAACCCTCACTCCGAAAACGTTACCCCTCACAGTTTTCTGGACTTGCGGCTTCTTCAACCTTGAGCTGTGACCTCTTGTGGGGCGAGAGGTCCACCAGCTCCAGGTAAGGGCACTCGACTGAGTAGTGCCCTTTGAGATGTTTATACACCTCAATTAGGTCCCCCCTTGCCCGTCTGTAGTATAAGCTAGGCAATTTCAGGAGCTCTAATCTCTCAGGGTAGCTGAGGTGCCGAAATGCAGGCATCAGTCTGGTGGCCCTCCTTTGGACATTTTCAATCAACTGACAGTCCCTCGGGAAGCTATTTAATGAATTTAGGAAGATAGTAATTACGCCAGGATGACGTCGCACCAATGCAGGAAGATCTGAATTACTTAAACTGTTCAAATGGTCTCGAGAATGATAATTACTCTTCAACATTACGTAATGCAAAACCTTACACGAAGAATACAACAACCCGACACAATTATTCTATTAATAACACTTTCCTGGATACTATGCGTAAGGAGAAAGATCTTGGCGTTGTGATGGAGATAGATCATTTAATGAGGGCGACTCAACAAGTGAGG